TGCCATTCACCTGCCGTCCACCTGCCGTCCACCTGCCGTCCACCTGCCATTCACCTGCCGTCCACCTGCCGTCCACGATGTGCGGGCTCTTTGCGCCTTTCCGCGACTGTGGCCGCCAGGGCTCTGAGCAGCGTGCCCAGCGGCTCTCCAGGTCCAGCTCCCAGCCCTGCAGGATGTCCCCAGGGCCGGCTGCAGCCCCTGGGGAGGTCTGCGTCTCGGAGGACATCAACACAGGGTCGTCGGCGTGCACCAAGTCCGGGTCTCCACTCCCCCGCACATCGCTCTGTTCCGTGTGTCCCGTCTCAGGACAGCACCCGAAGGGGCAGCACCCGAACAGGCGTGGCGTGGCCCCCCTAGCGTCCGGCCTGCGTTTCTGACCCAGACTCCGCGTCTCTCCGTGAGCTGGCCGGCTATTCGCATCTCTTCCTTGGAGAAGTCCACGCGGTGGCGGAGGCCACGGGCCTGCACACCCATGCTCCTCTGTGGCCAACGAGCCGAGCGCGGTGCTGAGTGGTCTGTGTCCACGGCCGGATGTCCCTCTTCTGCTCACACACACACACACACACTCACACACTCACACTCACACACTCACACACACTCACACTCACAGGCCTGGGTGACAGTACAGCCTGAGCCGGAAGGATGCGGGGACCCGAGTGGGCCGTGATGGTAGGACGTCCCCGGTGAGCTCTCACTGCCCACCAGGCCTGGCCTCATGGCGTGGTGAGACTCCCCTGTAGCGAGAGCGAGGCCCCGGGAGGGGAGCCTGCAGGAGACAGGTCAGCGAGGCCCCCCAGGCTGTGGCGCTGTCACCTCACTCTTCAGCAATGGAGGGGACACCTGGCTGTCCGGCCGCGCAGCATCTGGAAGTACGCTTGGGGGCTCGAACTGGGGAGGGATGGAGCAGGAGGTGAGGTGGATTCCTGGACCCAGGGAGGAGGCGAGGGCGCAGGGATGACCGGGGCCGGGATGGAGGAAGGCCACCCAGATGAGCCGTGCTGAGGAGGAAGGAGGGACAAGAGTTAGCCACACGGAGACCAGGGGGGGAGGGAGGTCACGCTGGAGAAGCACGCCCTGCTCTGGCTGCAGTGATGGGGCCACCAGGTCATCGGGCATGGGGAAGCCGGCGAGCAGTGAGTGGGGGGGTACAGGGCAGGTTGGAACGGAGCAACCCTGGGCACCTTCCTGGGGGAGGTGTCCAGTGCGATGCTGGATGATGAGACGCCCACATCACTCACCTGAGAGGTTAACCCCTGGCAGCTTTTGCATCCTCCATGCCCACAGCAGGCTTGGCCACCTCCTTCCTGTGGAACCTCACTCTGAGAGAGACCGGGCACTTCAGTGTGGTCAGGTCGGGGGCAGAGGGCAGCCGACTCCCCTCCCCTGTGCATGTGAGGGGCTGAAGGAGGACCGAGGAGGAGCAGCCTGGCCAGTCCTGGGGACCTCCCTGAGGAGCGCAGGTACCTCCCCAGCCTGGACACTTGCCCAGAGTTGGGGACATCCACACTACCTCTGTGGAATCCTCACCCCGACTCAGCCCTGCCTGCCCCAGGCCCTCTGCATCCACTCAGGTCCCCCCCACCCCCCGCTCCTCAGGCCCCCCCCACCCCCCGCTCTGAGGCTCGGGGACTCAGCCTCAGCCCCATCCTCCCCGTCTCCCCTCATCCCTGCACAGTGCTCACCTGAGGAAGATGAGGAGGAGGCAGAGAAGCAGGACCTTGACAGCCGCCTCCCCGAGGGCCACCAGAAACACCTCTGCCATGGGCCCTGAGGTCCCTGGGGAAAGTGGGACGAGGCAGGTCCACCTGCCGGCCATGCTCCTGGCCCTTCCCCTGCCACCCGGACCTTCCCATGGGCTCCCCAGGCCCTCCCTGCATGCCCGAATGCAGGTCCGGTCGGCCCTGGCCTCACCCTCCCCATTCCCGACGGGCCTCCAGTGACGAGGGCTCCAGTCCCGTGGCGTCAAGGCCTCAGAGCTGAGACCCAGGCTAGGATCAGCACCCCCTCCTCTGCTCACCCCCAGGGCTGCTTAGGGACTGGGAGGGGGAGAGGTGGGGTGGGCTGGGCTGAGGTGGCCCCGACACTCACTCTGCAGGCAGAGCCGCAGGGAGAGGTGCTCAGAGCCCAGAGGGTGCTCAGCTCGGCACGTGACTTCTCCTTCGTCGCTGGCACGTACTCGGGGCAGCTCCAGCAGCCCAGTGTTCGAAACCTGTGAGGGGCTCAAGGTCAGGTTTCCCTGAGCCCAGCTCAGCCTGGCGGGAGGGTTGCTGTCCACAACACACACCAGGCGCAGGGACTCGCCCTCCAGGACACACAGGGAAGAACGGTTCCTCAGGCCTGTAGATGCTGAGGAAAAGACAGAGGGTCAGAGTGACAAAGCAGTCCAGAGAAAGAGGAAGGGTAGACAGGAGGACGCCCGCGTGGGCAGCTGGAGAGAAGGCGGGGCAGGACCGAGCCTCTGGGACAGCGACCCAGGGAGGAGCAGGCAGGAGCTCCCAGTGGCTGGGCCGGCCCCTCTCTGCACCGGCTGGCGTGAGGCATCTCTGACCCAGGGGCTCTGCACCCCCGGAATCAGGCCAGGACACGCACTGGGAGGCCCTCGGGAGGCCCTGGGTCTTCGCACACCTCCCGGCTCTGACGGCTCAGCGGGGCGCACCTGAGGCTCTTACCCTTTGTCCATGTCGGCACAGCACACCCCTTCGCTGAGTTATTGGGGTGCCTCTGAGAGGGGCTCTGAGAAACTCAGTCTAGGGGGAAGTGGGGACCCGGGCACAGACGCTCACATGGCCACATGACACGTGATGGGGTGAGTTGGGTCCACACTGCCCCACCCTCCAAGACAGCACATGAGACCATGTAAAGGAGGCCATGTAAGTGCTATCTATGGTCCCTGAGGGCTTCCTGGAGGAGGCACACCCATGTTAAGCCTGAAATGTGTTGTGGAGGATGAGAAGAGGCAGTTAGTTGAAGGTGAGGGATGAGGGACATTCCAGAAAGGAGAAAGAGGGCCGAGAGGGCTCAGGCCCGTGTACATCCGGGAGGCCGGTGCCGGGCATTGGGGAGGGACTGGGCACAAACTCAGAGACGGGACGGGACTGAGCTGGGCCCGCACTCTGGCCTCCCAGGGGCATTGGGGGACTGTGGCTCTGCGTGGAGAAAATGCGGCCCACTCCTGACATCGGGGGACGCGGGCCCTGCTACTTCTCGTTCGGAAGTGGAGCCCACAGACACAGGCGTGTGCCGGGGGACCAGACACGGCCCTTCGGCGCAGCGTCCCCTCGGCAGAGGAAGTGAGGCCAAGACTACCCAGCACGGGCAGGGCGGTGGCTCGGTACCCGTTGGGGCGGCGGGGGCTCTCCCAGCTGGGCGGGTCTGAGGCGTGTCTCATGCTGGGTAAACTCCCTTTAAAAGCCAAATGATGTGAAGTGATCGAATGTACAAGAAAATTATAATAGTACTAAAGTTTTAAAAATAATAAAGAGATTTCCCACCACAGACGATGCGTGTGGACTCGGTCACCCACGGTGACACGGCACCGACGCAGAGGACAGTGGGCGGTCTGTGCGACCACACCCCTGCCACCCTCAGCTGACACGCCCAGGCTCAGGGCACCTGCAGGGACACTGCCGGCCAGGGGGAGGGTGTGGACTGAGCACCTGAGGGGGCTGTGCTGCTCTGAGGGTGTCCCTGTGACTAAACCACCCCCAAATCCCTGATCAGACCCCCGGGAGGGAGAAGGCCAGGGGTGCTCAGGAGACGCGGGCAGCCGGAGAGGCCGGCTCTGCAGCGTGAGGCCGCCCTGCCCAGACCTGGGACCCAGTGGGCTCAGGAGTCTTGGGGACAGATGGTCAGAGAGGCCGTGGGGGCTGGGATGGGAAGGGTCTCTGGGTCCCAACGAGGAGGTCTGTGGTCCCCAGGTGAGTCCAGGATAAGGAGGCCCCGCCCTGCCCTGAGCGGACCAGCCCCCAGCCCCAGCCCCAGGGAGGCCCCTCCTCACCTGCGGCGTCCTCGTCCCCTCGGAAGACAGTTACGCTCAAGTTCCGTGGGGCGTCTGGAGGAGACACGGGAGCGTGGGGGTGAGGCCGCGTGGACTCGCCTCTGCCCCTGGAGCTGCGTAAACGGGGACGGCAGAGCCGGGACTTCCCGACCCCTCCAGCCTGGGACCAGCCCCCCCTGCTGTCCCAGGGACACCCCCACCAGTCCCAGCCGTCCTGGTCCCTCTCTCACAGGACACATTGAGGCGGATGGTCCCCATCAGGGTCACGTCAGTCCCGTTGGCCCCACGCACGGTCACCCGACAGGTGAGGTTGGTGTCGTGGTCCTGGGGCCTCGGGGTGAGGCTGAGCACGGAGGAGCGAGTGACGGAGGGCCCCAGGGAGGACACGGATGTCCCCGACCAGAAGAAGATGGGGGGTGTCCCCTGCTCACAGGCCCAGGGCACAGAGCAGGTCAGGTTCGTGGGGCGGCCGGACTCCAGGGTCCCCCAGACGTGGATATGGGTCAGGGCTGCCGAGGAGGGACACGCAGGGTCAGGAGGGAGGGTCCGAGGGGCAGCCCCTCCCCTGAGCCAGACCCTTCACCCAGCCCCTCCCAGGACGGGGTCCCAGCCCCACCCCCATGGCCCTCCCGGGCCCCCACTTACCTGTCACGCGCACGTCGAGCTTGGTCCCCCAGTAGTTCCACTTCACAATGGGCCCTCTCTCCATCTTGAAGAAGTACGTCCCCTCGTCGCTCCTCCTGGCGTCACGGATGCCCAGGGTGCAGTTGTTGGTCCTGGGATCCCCGAGGAGGCTGAATCGGCCCCGGGCCTCCTCCCGCACTGTGCTGGCCGGGTCGTTCGTGGCCACTGGAGCATCCTCGTTCGTGTTTACATTGGCCCCGTCCCGGAACCAGTACCCGTGAACCGGGTCAGAGTCGTTCCAGCCCACCTCGGGGTAGGAGAAGGAGCAGCGCACGGCCACGCACAGGCCCTCGGGCACCTCCACCCGCCGCCCCTGCAGTTCCAGGCTGTAATCCTTGTTAGTCTCCCTGTCCCCCAGGGCCTCCCCCCACCCCCGCAGGGCCAG